AAATATTGAAATACGGATCACGATTCCCACGGATCTCCCCACCCAACTTCCTCCACCACCCCACCTGAAACTCCATGTCGTAGCTGGGCAAGATGATGCGACCATGCTTCCACTCGCCGCCCTGGTCCTCACGGATGACCCACAGGAGCTTGCTTTCCTGGCTGGCTTCGCGTACCACCTGCAGCGCCACCCCGCGGCCGCCCGTGGCTTGGTACTGGAACTCCATGCACACGGGGCTCCGGGGCAGGTGGACAGGTGGGCTGATGAGCCGCCCGTACTGACCCTCTCGCCGGCCGTCACTCTGCAGCCGCAAGAAATTCCTGTCATCTGAGAAAACAAACCCAAACAGAGATCCTTGATAAATGCTTGGGAAAGATACTAGTTCACAGCTGTAGCCCCTCCAGTAAAAAGCTGGGACCAGGTTTTAAAAAATTTTTTAAATTCCTGTCCTTGTTCCCCAGGTCCTGTGTCCCCTCCTTGATGTGTCTTCAGAACCCTGATTCTCCTCTTGAAGCCCTTTCTTCAGTGTTTAAATCTCTTATTTCTCTGTATCACTTTCTTTGTATCACACATATAGCACGTGGTGTAGCTGGTCTTAGGTGTTGGCTGGTTGTGTTTGGCTTGTCTTCGCTCCCTAGAGTCTAAGGCCAGGTCCATGTCTTACTCATCTTAGGCTTACCTGAAGGGTCAGTGCAGTCTAAACTGAATTATAAGGGAAAAGTTTCCAGGGGGTGAAGTGGCTGCTAGATTGGAGGTGACTCTGGCTTAGGTGTTTTATGTTTCAAGCCTTTGACGTCTTGGCTGGGCACTGTCCAAATGGAAGACATTTAAAACCTTCTGTCTCTGCCAGTGCTGCTAGATGATGCCTGGGCTCCTGTGCCTGTGACTTGGAAGCCCATGTCAGCTTCAAACAGAACAGGGGGTGGTGGCTGAGTATGATGACTCTGATGCCTAACGTTCCACCCCCTTCCTTGTACGCTCCAGGGAGGGCTGAACTTGACCTTTCTCAAGCAGTCAGACACAGACAGCTCCAATGATAAAGATACGGTCATTATTGCCGTAACAAAGGCTATGTGTTTAGCAGAGAATATACATGTTCTGGGAAATTAAAGGTTCACCAAGTCCAAATGTTTGGAGATTGACCCTTTTGGAGGATTGATTTTGAATACATCAGACACTTCTGTGAAAGACAGATTTCTCATTGTGGTTGACAGACCCCATGTCTTGCAGACACAGGTGCAGAGACTAGCACTTGCTGGTTCAAGAGCACTCTGGCCACATGTACAGAGGGCAAGGTGCATCTGAGGAGGACATCTCCCTGTCTTCTTTTGGCCCTGAAGACATAGGGGCATCTTGGGCTGAACACTTCTGCAAGAGGGCAGGGACACATTTTTACTACATACCCAGCGTGGAACATGGGCATGTCAGACTCCTCAGGTCATGTTAATGTGATGCTATGTTAGTCTGAGACATGTGCTTTCTAACTCAACAGGGGTTATGACCATCCTGGGCTTGTCAGGAAAGAACAGGTTGGGGCTCCAGAGCCCTGAGGCAACACAGGACCCTCCCTGATCACTGGTTTGCCCTTGTGAGAGCTGAGCTTGTGGTTGACTTCCCATCATTGGCCTAGAACCAGCTCCTCCCTCCCCAACTCTCTGGCCCTCCTGTCTACCTCCCTAGCTCATCTAAGCCCCTTCCTCTTGCTAGACTGTCTGGGATTATTGCTTCAGAAGCTGTCCTTCCCTGAAATCAAATTAGACCAGTTTAGGGTACATATGTGAGATTCCTTTTGTGGCTCCTCCGCCAGTCTGAGCCATGTCTGTCTACCTACGTACAACATCTGACCTCTTCGAGGCTCAAATCAGCACAGATAACTAAGAAGCACCCATCTTCGGAAGAGAATTTTAACAATGAAGTTCTGCAGAGGGAGGAGACACTGATACTGTAACCAGATACTCGGTGATCTTCCAAACCTAGGCTTCTCCTATCAGATCTTATTGCCAGCGCTATTAATGATAATAATTACAACTCCTATTTGCATAATGCTTTACAGGTTGCAAAGCACATTGGGATGCATTATTTTATTTCATCCTTGCTATATGCCTGTGAACTGGGATTTACTAATCTTACTTTGCACATGATAAAAAATTGAGGCTCAGAAAGGTTAAAGGGACTTGTCCAAGGTAGACAGGCTGCAGAGCCCAGACTTCATTAAGGGTTTCCCCAACTTTCTGCAGTGCCCAGACTTCATTAAGGGTTTCCCCAACTTTCTGCAGTCAATTTTCCATTTCAACTGCCTGTAGGTGCCTTGCCCCCCAGCCCACACTCTGTTTGAGGCAAACTGGTTTCCCCACTGGGCCTGTGCTTCCTTTTCTTCTTTTACCTATAATTCCTTGCTCCTTCATTTCTTCCCCTACCCCGTCTCTTTAGCCAGTTCCTCTCCTTATCATTCTGGCACATGCAACATTAATCCCCTTCTTCTCTCAACAACTCCAGTGTTTACTGACTACACCACTGATTTCACTGGCTTTTAAAAGAACTGGAGGCCATTTTCTTTGGATTTTGGCAGGTAACTACCTATTATCAGGCATCATGATTTAACTGTTTCTCGTTAGGTCCTGGCCTTGCACATTTAGGGTTTGGTACTGCTTCTTCCCCCTTCCTTTTTCACGATCATTTTTTTGGCACTACTCAAGGAAATTTTGTTCCCATGAATGAATGAGTGAATGAACAAATGAATGGATAAAGAGTGCTAGGAGCCTGTCCATTGGAAACCGACAGAGGGAGAATCTGCTAGACGCTGGCAGTGGCTCGGATTCAGATAATTCCTTCACAATCCTTCCATTCTCCTGAGCCAACAGCTCCTTTCAAAGGTGAGGTGCACCAACAATAACAGGGTGACCTCTGGAGGCACACCATTGACTGAGACCCCAGCGAGAGCCCCCAAATGCTCCTATGCGCCTGGTCACTTCCAAGCACTTACTGTTTCCACCTCGTTTATAAAGGAAACCAGATTTCAGAGAGTTATTATTCAGCCTTCTTCCTTCACAGTTTCACAAATAAGACCCACTTGCTGCCTGAAAACTGCTTGGCAGGAATACTGTCACTTGTGTGAATTTGCATTCTTAAGCAGCAGGGGAATCACAGCATAATGGTTAGAATTTGGTAAGTGAAATGCGTGTGGTTTATGAGGAAGTGGGCTGACTGGGTTTCATCTGGGTCCATTCTATTTGCTCATCCGGTTACTAGAACTTGAGGCGCGAGCAGGCCTCTTCCAGGGGGCCTCAGAAGCCCCTCCCCTCTCCTTGCATTTCTTCTCCCCTCTCTCTCACAGCAGGATGATAATCACTACGCATGATTTAAAGGACCACTGCAAGACCAGGGATTAACGCTGGTGGCGTGCTCAGCACGAGCAGCTGAAGGCTCATAATTCAGTGCTGACATCTGAGCTAATCCACTAGTTTGCAGAATCTCCAGACGAGCAGGCCTCTGGATTTCACTTAGTTAAATCATTTGTGCCCACTTGTCTGCTAAGTGCTATGAGCTCCAGGGAAGAAAGATGATATGTAAATTTAAAGAATTAGCAGTTGACATCAGTCAGAGGGACGCTGAGCTGCAAAATGTCCCTGCCTGTCACTGACAGAAGCTTGATTAGAACCAGGGACATCATGAAGGAATGGTACAGACCAGGAAACATGCAAGGAAAGGGAGGAAAAAAACAAAGCAAAACAAAAACAGGGAGAAGATAATGAACAAAGTGAGCACCTACTACATACCAGACACTGCACAGGAATTTATTTACCTGATGTCATCTTCCTTGCAAAATTTAGCCCTGTGCAATCAGAATTATTTCCTCCACTTTTACAAAACAACAAACAAACAAACAACCCCCCCCCCCAGGGGTTGAGTCTCAGAGAACTGAAGCAATGTGACCTAGAGTATTGCCAGAGAGAGATGGAAGCAGGTTTTGAACTCTGATGGGACAGAGTAAACTAGCCAGGGCACCGCCTCTCATCTGGGTTGGAATCCTGACCTCAGGCTCACTAACTGTTGGAAGACTTAGTCTTTCCATCTGTAAAGTGGCTGTACTAACAGCATTACTGTACAGGGTTGTGGGGGAGGCACAGATGGAATGAGCCATGGAAAGGTTTTATGTCGTAACAGGCACACAGTAAAAGCTCAACGAATTACTACTATCACAATACACACCCCTCCTATGCCTGCCTTTGTTTTATTTGGAAAGAAAAGGGGGTAGAAAGGCCACCAATAACCTGGTGAGGTCAACCCAAGATTCAAAAGCGAGTGTGGTTTGGCCTGAGGACAGTCAAGATGTCTTCTGTTACAAAGACTGACTCCCCAGATCTGTCTGCACCCCAGAAACCAGCTGGCCCCAAGTTGTCCAACCTGCACTGTTCACCACATGTCTGCCGTCATGTGCCATCTACAGCAAGTGAAATAAAATAGTCTGCAGTCCTGGAACATGGGTGGGACCTCAAGGGATGACTTGGAGCAGGCCAAAATGCCCCAAGCACACTGTCACCCTTTGCTTTAAGTTCTTCAGAGAAAGTGCTTCCACAGGCCACAAGGGCAATGTGTGGTCAAGGCCACAGCCCCAAATGCCAGGAATTCCTTAAATTTGGTCTTAAGTTCCCTGGCTGTTATTTAAACACTTCTCCTGCTATCCCTGAGGCAACACAGCCAGTTTCTGTTCTCTGACTTAAAAACATTTTTACTTATGAAGAATTAAGACCTTTAGTCTGTGCTTCCCCAGGAAACACAACCTTTGTCCCTTCAAACCGTCCCCTTTCCGGGGCTTTGATTACAGGGGTGGGTCTCCACTGACCTCTCTTCCAAGCTAAATGCTTTAGCTCTTTAAAGCCACGGTGCCCGCACCAAGATCTTGAGATGGAACATGTGCTGCAAGTGAAGACTGTTCTTCTGGAATATTCCAATTTATGGCCCACCATTGCCAGATATCAAGGAAGCTCTAAGCATATGGAGGCTGTTGAGGACTTGATAGAAAAAAAAGTTTGGCAAGGCCTGGGGGAGGGGCTACTTTATTGATGTACTTGGACTTTAAGGAAAGGCCCTTTGGATTGTCACGATGTTGCCTCAATGCGAAGACTGACTGACTAAGTAAGAACCAGTCCTGCTGGAAGCCGCCTTCTTGTTCTTGTAGCTGATGGCCGTGCTGCCGGCGATGGACGGCTTCCAAAAAAAGACAATGGAAAGGAAACACGTTCAGTTGCTGAGAGAGAGTGAAGAAATAATGTCCCAGAGACACAATCCCTTTCCTCCTGGACCTGACGTATTCGGGAGACACTTCGCTGGGTCCTTGACTCAAAACATCTGTGGTCACCAACGATGCAGGGAAAACAATCACAGGGGAATAAACAACAGGAGTTCAAAAGGGTAGGGAGGAAGCGCAGAGGACAGGGTCATTCAGGCGTTGCAAACCTGCTGCTGTCTCTAGAAAGGTCTCTTGATATTTCACCTGGCGATTTACGGTCCATCTGGCTTCAGCCACTTCAGTGCTGCGGGAACACGTGACCATGGTTGGCCCCACTGCCACGGATTCAATTGTGTCTATACCTCACCAAACCCTGAAATAAATCACCAGCTTGCTCCTCCTGGCTATCACAAAGCCAAACACGCCATCTGTCCAACACACACATCTCCTGGCTAGCATCTTGCCCTCCGACTAGAGCAACCATCTGAAAGAATATTCAGTGCTGCAGGAGATACAGACTCTTAGTATAGGTCATACCTAAAACATGAGTCAGCCCCTCAGCTGGCCTCCCAAGGTCAGTCTATCTCTGCTAAGGTCCTCAAATTAACAACCGGTTAAAGGAAACATGACTTGGGATGAACTCAGCAGGATGTTTTCAAGCTTTACAAGAGAACATTCTGTGGTTAAGTAAGGCTTCAGGCCTGCCCTGCGCTGGAGTCTACCTGAGTTGTTCTTTGGTACGTCAGTTTTCAGGAAAAGTTCGACTATTGGGACAGTCTTCTTGTCGTCTTTGCATCTTTGTTAGCAATCCAAACACTGCTGGGGAATTCAACCAGGAAAAAGAGGTAAGAGCTTTGCTTCCCCACTTGGCTTTCCTGAGAAGCTGGAGATGTTTTCCTACCTTCCCTAAAGAAGGGCCTCTATTCTTTCCTTTTCTAGGTGAAATTATTCCTTCAATATTGACTTTTTAAAAAAATTTTTTATTTTAGCCCAAGCTGTTCTTGGACTTTAATTATCCATTATGGTCTACAGCCCAAGAGATTTCTGTCCTTATATTTGCAGTGGCTGTGCCCCCGCAAACCACAGGAGCCTCTTTCTGAAGGCAACTTGGCCCAACAGCAGTCCAGTGTTTGCTGCCACTGGTTCCACCTGATATTTTGAAACCAGAGAGTTGCTTTTAAATTCAGAATCAATGTTAGCTCAATGTCAAAATTCAAGTCTAGCATAAGTGAGTTCATTCATCAATTACTTCCTTAGATTTCTCTGCAAACACCCACCCCCAGCACCCACTCACAGTCCTCTTATGCACATTCATGGTGAATCACAGCTCTGGTCTCTGTTCTAATGGAGTTTATTCTGCGGCCCAATCTGCATCAAAACATCCCCCATGAGGAGTTAATATGTCTGTCACTTATATTTGAAGGGATAGGCACAATTTATAACATCTGGATATCAAGATACTGAATTTATGCCTATTTGAGCTTATTTTTGAACCTGGGGTGCTGCCCTCTCAAGCCCTTGCCTAAGCCAGGCAAAGCTCTGTCAAAACAGTGGACTATGCCAAATAGAATTTGCCTGTTTTCTTCATATCACTGTCATGATTTGAAATTATTGAGATGAAGTAACACTGTACCCGTGCTTTACTAGGTCAACCAATGTATAAAACAGCACACATGTAAGAACACCACCCACCTGAGGGTTATGAAGCTGATCTGGCTTTATATCTAGTCTTCTTGTCTCATTCCTGATAATAATAGGGATGAAAACAACAATAACTATCATTATTCTTATTGGTATCAGATTGCACTTACTTAGGATGCTCTTTTTTATTGATCAAAAGTAGTTTCTATACCATCTAATGCTGTTACTTTTTTTACTTGACTATGGTTGCTCAGTGAAGTAGAATGATACAAAAAAATTAAAACACTGTCCACTGAACACTTTAGCAAGGATTATAGAGAAGCTAAATCCCCTTAATCACTTGCTTCTTGGTTTACCACACCAAGAAACCAAAGAAAGCATCAGCAAGGGCTCTGGGGTGTTCTCCTGTTAATGACCAAGGGTCCTAGATCAGCAATGTCCAACACAACACCCTGTCCCTGTGGACATGTTCCATACAGGCATTGACTGATTCAGGGTGGCTACTGTGCCAAGGGTGTAGTTAGGGCAGCAGCAGAATTGAAGCATTAGCTGCATTAATTTTAATTAATTTAAATCTAAATCTAAATAGCCATGTGGCTAGTGGCTCCTATATTAAACATGGCAGCTCTAAATACCTGAGCCAGCCCTCAGAGTTTTTGCCTTGCTCCTTAAAGACCTGAGTCTGATCATCCTCTTCACAATCAAAGCCCTTGAGAATATCTGTAGAAAATATGCTAGCCCTAGTACAAGGGATGCTTCTTTGTCATTGTGGCTGCAGAAAAAAGGTAAGTGGCTTCTCAGAGACCATGGGCAGGCTCCTCCTCTGCCACCAGGGGTCACTGAATTTGGAACAGAGTCCCCAGGGGCTGGGATGAACACACTCCAGGCAGCTTGGCCACAAGCAAAGAGCTAAAAAAAGCATTTTTGAGTGGCTTGAAAGACTGTCTTGAAAAACAAAAACAGTGGAATGAGACCAGTGGGTGTCTTGTCAGCCTGGAGCAACCATCAGCACTGGCCAAAAGAACAGAACTAATTGCTGACTTAAAAGGAGAAGGAAGGGGGGTGAGGGAGAAAACACGAGAAAACAACTAAATCAAAAAACATCTAAGGAATGTAAGTAGTTTCCACAGACACTTCTAATCAAATGGCTTGTGTATGATATTTCAACATGACTATTTCCTCCCTTCTTTCCGTGCTTTCTCCCAACCCCATTCCCTCTACCCTTGATGGAGATACTTCCTTACCCAAATTTAATTACTTCTGTCTACCTACCCTCTAAGGGGATAAAATACATGGCACGCTCCTCAAGATGGGACCGGTCTCCTCTTTGTGGGATAGCAAAGCACGGGTGACCCAGTGGCTTTCAGGTTGACTGGGTGGCATAGCCACTGTGAACCCATCAGCATTTGCCCCACCCCCAGACAAGCACAGCTGTTTCCTTTCTCCTGCTGGCTCCCCTCAGGGCCCTGTTTTTTTTTTTTAAAAGAAAGGACCACCCTGAACAGAAAGGGCGTTCTATCTTCTGCTGAAAGCCTGATTTTGAGTTTTGTAAGCAGAAGGAAAATGGGAAATGCAGAAACAGGGTTTTAGAATCATCAGAGGATAGAAGGAAGGACTTGAACAATATTATGATTTTGTTTCCCTGAGGCGGGTTACAAGTGCCACTCTTCCAAACTTCAGGGATTCCCGTGAAAGAGCAAGATAATTGTTTTCCTTCTCAGTATCTTAAGGGAGGAACAACATTTGATCTAGCAGTTCCTTATGGCCCTAATATTTTCAGTTCCATCCATTCAGCCAAAGGCTGAGATTCTGCCCATTTTGTGAATTTGCTCTGAAAAGCCCTCCCAGACGTCATCGTGGAATGAATCAAGTGGAATGGAGACAAAGACTAGAATTCCCAAACAGCAGCAAAGGTCAGTGGGTAGGACATTCAGGTGGGGACCAGCACTGAACAAGGAGGGGCAGGTAAAGGGCAAGAATGGTACAGGCCAGAGTCTCAGGGAGGTGATTTAAGCCCTTCCAGAACTGCTACCTGCTAAGTGGCTTTGTCGCCTGGACAGGACTGGCATCAGAGATTGTTGGGCAAAATCTCCTTATAAGAGTGAAAGAGAAGAGGCCAGGATTATTAGAAAACAACCTGAAGAGGGACATTGAATAAGAGTCAGTAAATTTTCCCACTCTATAGAGAGCCCGTGTGTGCAGCCCTTTATTCAAAGTGCCTTTGCCAAGCCTTACCTTATCCACACCCTCACAGACACCCCCCCCCCACTCATAGGGACCACAAACTGTGCTTGTTCAGACACGAGCTTGTTCTGCACACGAGCACACACCTTACCAGCCTCCCCTACATTCAGATAAAAGATGGGGGTTGGGAAAACCCACCAATTAATTGGACCCAGTCTCAAAGGGGAGGAAATGAAATGAAAAATCCAGGCTGGGTTATAAAAATAAGTATTTTTTTCCCAACATGCAGGAGGCTCATTATATTAATTAAACATTATTGCAGTGAGTGAGGGGGGAGGGCGATTAAGGCTGGGACTGGGGTAAGTGTTCTCTCCTGTGCCTGAGGCCGTGGCCATCTTCAGATACTCATCTCTCTGAGCACTCAAATGCTGAAGAGATAAACACTTGAAATATGAAAATGTTTTTCTCCAGAGCAGACGCTGTGACCCTCCAGGAAACCAAGAGTGGGCTGTGTCAGAGGCTGGCCCAAGCGCTCTCCTAGTGCCTGTCTTACTGCTCTTCCCTGGGGACAGGGGACACCTCCAGCCCTTGGGTGAGGGGCAGCAGAGCAATTCTGAGGAAGCTGGCAGCAGGAAAGCCCCTTCCCCCTTTTATTTTCTAGCTTTATCCCATTACATACTAGTAACATTTAGTCTACTAAATTTCCAGAATTAACCCCTTTCCTCTCAAATGCTTATAGAGAAGTCTAAATGTTTAGGCTGGAGGTGTAGAAAAATGGAAAGATAACGAGTAGTGTGCTGAATCAAGTGTACCAGTTAGTGAGAGTCCCTTGTTAAATTTTCCGGAATTTTGCAAGGAAGTTAAATGTAATCATTATGATAAATGAAATCACATAAAATTATAATAAATCATATTAAAAACAAAAGGTAATAAACATCCCCCAAACCACATTTCCTAATTATTTTAATACATTTTGGCCAGTATCTTGCTTCTCAGGTAATTTATAGCCATAGCATCTCTACAGTAGAAAACCTCTCCCTCATACCCTGTGCCTCTAAACTCTGCCTCCATTGCTGTATCAGTGGCTGGAACTGAATGGCCAGCAAGAACATTTACACCACTGAAAGCAGCAAACATTACAAGCACATTCTTTTTTTCCCCCAGCCTTTGGAAAGTTGTAAACGTTGACGGGAACGCCACTGGGAAATCATTCAATTTTGGAAAAGTTAGACAACTCTTGCTATTCCCTGTTTAGAAAGGCTGATGGCACCTGGCTCTCTGAAACCAAAGGGTGAACTTCACCATATTTCAAGGACTGCCAAGCTCTGCTTGATGCACCCATCGTGTCACATCACATCTGGGACACCTATGGGTGTGGCAGCATTTCAGTCCTTTGACTTGCTAGCCTCCAGAAGGGGTGATACACTCAGAAGTATCCCTCAGAGTCAAGGCCAGTGGCTTCCCAATGAGCCACTTTGGGAACAATACCAGGAGAGGCTCTGTGATAGTGGCAGCCATGCTGGCTGTGGGAACGAGGACACCGGATGACTCCTCCCCTCTCCTGGAACCTCCCCAATGCTCCTTCTTTCTTTTTCTTTTATCCTGGTCTCTCCCTCCCTCTCCCCGATGCCAGGCTGTGCTGTCATCACAAGTGAGGGCTGGAACCAGCCAGCGACTAGTCTGTGCGATGACGTCTGCAGCAAAGACTGGTGGTTTGTGGGCAAGGAACAGAGAATGACTCTGTGGTGGGAAGTGATGAAGCTTGCAGGGGGAGCTGGGGCTGGAAAACATGCAGCAGGTTGGCCTCACGTCCTTCCTCTCCCAGCCTTCAGTTGGCTCACCTGGAAATGTCCGGTCACTGGGGCTGGAGCTGCTGGTCCAGGTGCTTCTGAGCCACTTGGCATGGTCATACATCCAACCACAGGGCTCCTCGGGGAAATCGAAGTTGCAATTGAATCCTGAAGGGAGCTGCAAATCTTTGTCTAAAGGGGGAGAAAAAAAATAACCCAAAGGAAGGCAA